CGAGTCTGTCTGAGTCAGTGATTGTTTTGACTATCTATCTATCTATCTATCTATCTATCTATCTATCTATCTATCTATCTGTCTGTCTGTCTGTCTGTCTGTCTGTCTGTCTGTCTGTCTATATATCTGTCTATCTGCCTATCTATCTATCTATCTATCTATCTATCTATCTAAAATGCATGCTGTGTACAACTCTAAACATTGTACTTTGAGACTGTACGGAGATATTAAAAGTAGATACCAAGCAATAACAGTTATTTAGGTATATATTTATAGAAAAACAACAAAACAAATAAGCAAACAAAACAAAAACGGAAAAAAAGAAAGAAGGAAGAAATAAAAAAGAAGCACTGAGTAGGCTCGAACCCAGGACCGTCGGCTCCGCGCGATTTGACCGTACCACTTCACCACTAAGGCTGACAACACTACAATGACGAAAAGTCTTGCCGTTTAAATGGAACTTCCGCCGGCAAACGCCGTTTAAAGATGATCAAGCCGTATTAACCGAGAAAAAAATGTAATATGAACGCATTCCATGTCAATGAATGAATGGAAGAACATAATGATGCTTTACAAAAAGCCGATACACCTCGTCTGCGAAGTAGGACACAAAACATATGTTTTGTTATCTCGATGTCCGCTGTTATTTTGAAGTCAAAACCACATCCATTTTCTTCTCATACAGAATAGCATGGTATGAAATTTTCTCACTTTCGAGGTTTCAGCAAGCTGGAATTTGTATATCCCCTGTGACCTTGCGGCCGAGTCGAAGTGCAAATGCTCATCTTCTCGCCATGTTTAACGCCTGGACGAGTCAAAGGCTCTTAAAATCCAATCCCCAAGTTTACCATCGTGCTCATCTGAAAGAGTCCTCCGTGTCTTTGTAAGACCTCTAACCGTGCTGTAGAAAATTTTCCGCAAAGAAAACTCTTGAGTCTGAGCAGCGAACGATGCACGCTTTCAGCGAAGATTTTGATCCCACCGAACTTCGGCGAGAGCGTGCTTCTTCGGAAACGATAGATCTTCGCACTCTCGAGTTCGGACCCGATTCTGATTACGAAGTCCGTCTACTACGAGAGCGAGAGTGACTCATTTGCATATTCCTGTCCCTGCAATAGCTGGTGGTACGCTTGTGCGTCCCCACGAGTTAACTAGGAGTCAGGCGATTTTTTTTATTTGACCTGCTGCGCGGCGAATTGGGGACTTTATTAGCTTGGTTCCTGTCAAGTTCAGATCGGATCGGGATGCAAGAAAGACCAGTCAGCATATTCAGTCTATGTCCAGCCTCAGCTGGAAAATTAGACATTCTCTCGCATTTTATGTAAAAGCATTTTTGGCGATGTTTTTAACAGCTTTTTTAGTTCAATGGACATAGGGATGGCATCTTCATTTCTTCTTTACTGTGGTGATTTTCTTTGTTTGTTTGTTGTTGAATCATTTGTTTGATGACGTAGGTATTCTCTTGATTTTTTATGTTCTGATTAGTCTGTTTAGTCATCAAAGGCAGTGTATAGTTAATTAGTTACCACAAAAATTGAATTGCCAAATAAATTGTTATCTTGCGTTATGAGTTTTAACTCAAACTTTAAAAAGTTTAAGATCTCTGCTGACGTGCTGTTTTGCAATTGAATCCTTTCGTTGGGCCATGACTTTCACATCTGCACTTCTCATTGTAGTTTCTTTGAAACTGGGTAACAGGCATGCATTACCACTTTGTAAATCTGTTTTCTTACTTACGAATTATTTAGTGGTTGCATTTCTTGACGATGAAACCAAAGGAAGCAATATTTTCAGCACGACTCATTACTTTAGAAATTTCTAGTTTGCATTCTTGCTTGCGAAAGATGTGGAAGTAGTATTACTATGAGAATAGTCCGCCTTTAAGGTAAAAACTTATGTGCGATCTACAGTACCGACAGAAAGGCAGGTGAACAAGTGAAGAAACCTTGGCAATGTTTAAAGATCTCTCAACCGTGAAAGATGGAATCTCTTGGAAAAATGATGCAATATCTTTTTTTAAAACTGGGCTTCCTGTGGCCAGCCCAGTTTATAAAATACGTTCCATTTTTCTTCTCGGGGAGTATTTCTGGGAAGTTGTAGTGGGGGTCGTGCCGTCCAGCTCTCCTAATCTTGACACTATTTCAGAGCAATATATCTGACTGAATTTATAAAAACATGGCCTCAGTGAGTGTCTACAGGTCCTATGCTAAGTGTGTCCTTGGTACCAAGACTTTGACCCTCCCCACCCAGGACAATGGGTGACTGTCTGCGCCTCCCACTGAGCTCTGCAATTATCATGATAATCATTCTCAGTAGAGGCCTGATTCAGCTGGGTAAGGCAAATTAAGAACAAGGTGCTTGCCAGTCAAAGCCTCTACTGAACACTGCTGCTCACTGAAGGGGTGGTGTCAAAACAGCCCCCTCCCTACCCCACTAGTTTTAACCCCCAGGCCTGATCCACCCACCCACTGTTAGGGCAGTCCCTGGGCTATCAAGCTGTACCGACCAACACGGCAAGCCCCCTACTTTTTTGGACACCGGAATGGCCTGGAGCCGGGCTGCCCCCGGCGCCAGGCGAAAACCTTATGGCCACGTTTTAACGAAATCAGACGGATATATATATATATATATATATATATATATATATATATATATA